ACCCAAAGCACCTCTACATTTGGAATCCACTTAAAATGATTGATGATGTGATAGCACAAAAAAAGTAATTCTGTTACTAATCAAGCGTTCAGGATGGAGCAAGTATTCAGCATCAGCCAAGTTGTTCCTTTCAAATCATGTCTTGAGAGAAGCTATGCTATCCATCTCTTGGTATACACCTAGCAACTATCTTTTGTCTTCTTGACCATGTGTTTGAACAGGCAGCTGGTTTGAACTTTGCAGAAAGGTTGCTTAGATTTCCCCCCCTTGTTTTAGGTCAGTTGGCAGGCCCGACGGTGGCCTGATGCCAGTGCATCCCAAATGTCATGGAGGTAGATAGGTCAGTTGAAATAGACAAGGTTCAGATCCTTTGGTTTCTAAGCACCCTATGAATCTGGGAACATTAAAGAAGGCCAACTCATCATGTCTCCTTCCCTTCCCTCCCCCCCCCCGTTCTTTTTCTTTTAGTGGAGACAATTGTCAAATCATTTGTTTTTATTCAACATATTTTGCATGTTATTTTTATTTGACCTGAAATGAATGTAGAGCTGACTTTATATGCCCTCCCAGAGACTTTTGAACAGGGACACTTTATTTAAATTCTGGTATAGGCTCCTGGTCACTCTGAGTTAAACTTGAGCTAGCTTGATTTGAATTACTGCATGTGTTTAAGTTTACAGCATAAAGGGGTTGCCAAGGGATTGTTCCACTTAACTGCGTCTTTTATTTCTTTGTAGCCATTTGCTCTCAGTAATTTCTCTGCAATTGCAAAGATTCTGTGCCATCTTAGCAAATCCCAAACCTGTTTTTTATTAACAATTGTCATTTCCCTATCCAGTTTATTCTGTAGTTTATTTTGCACACATTATACATTCTATTCTCCCTTTTTATTGTTGTAAATAAGACTTCTGTCTTAAATAGGCATTATCCCCGCGTCACTTGATAGCTTCCTGATACTGTAAAACCAAGAAAGTTAATTTTTTTCTCCACTTTTATGCCATTAACAGCATCACACATCCTAATTTTCCCATATAAGGCTGCCATTAAATGTATGGAATAAAGACAGTGAAAACCCTGGTACCTACAATACTGAAGTTGAAATTCACACAGTAAACATGAAAGCAATTGTAGGAAAATAAACACTTTTTTCATAATTAATCATTTTTGTGTTAGATAAAGAGCATCATTTCAGATGCTGCTGCAATTTATATGTTAGTGTAAGGAGAAATATAGAAATGAGATAGTTTTTTCACTACACGAGTGGAAACAAACAAGAACAAATAACAAGTAGAAACATAAGGATTGAGAAAAGTAAGCAAACTGCAAAATATATGTAAGGATGTAAACAGATGTATTTGCAATATACTACATATCAAAAAGTCAAATGAATTTATACCACAAGTTGCAACATGAAAGCATATGACATGAATGTTTGTTATGTTGAAGGGTGAGATATTAAATCTTTTTAGACAACGTAAAAATAGGATAGAAGTGTCATAATTTAGGGCAGTAAAAACCACAGGGGGAAGATTCCTCTCCCTCTCCTCCACTAATCGAAAAAGGAATGATCATTTTAAGGAGATAATTAATAGAACTTAATGAACCTTACTCCCACTACATTTTTATTGCATCCTTGACAGTAGCTTTGTGAATCAGCATGAAAATGCATCAGATCGTGCCAGGAGCTTAGATAGGCAGAAACACACATATACATATGCAACATTCCATATACACATTGTATTGGGCAATGCATAGTTTCCTCATATCACAAATCAACTTTTATTCCAGAGAGAACTAGGCAATTAGATAGCTTCATTTCCCATTTCCCAGCTATTTTCCCTCCTTTTAGTAAGATTAATGTTTTATATTGACTTAAGGAGTTATATTTTCCATGTAAGTATACTACTAATAGAATTTAAATTCTTTAATGTTATTGGTAATTTGAGGTCTAAGTACCAATGTCTTTCCCATGTTCCTATTCATATTTGCACTTAGTCACAATACCTTAACACAGAGGTCCCCAACCTTTTGGGCACCAGGGTCCGGTACTGTGGAGAGAGGTTTTTTCGTGGACCGGAGGGGGCCTGGTTTCATGTACTGCCTGCATCCCACATATAGGGCTTCGCTTGTTTGTGTGGATCGGTTTCTGGCATGCCGTGGACTTGTGCTGGTCCATGGACCGGGGGTTGGGGACCCCTGCCTTAACAGTAACACTGTCCTTACTGTCTTCAAAATGCTGCCCTGGTCTCATCTTTGGACCATGAGTGAGACTAGCTGAAGGCATAATTAGCTGTACCAGTAACAAAGAAATATTTCCTCACTTTTTAACACCATCCAAGGACAGCCTCAGTGTGTAAAAAACTTTTACAGTTTATCATCCTGATATCTTGCATAGATGAGACTAGAGTCATATTTTTGGAATGCACAGAGACACGGATATACCTCTTCTCTGGTCACTAGTTAGCATTCATTTCGACCATTTCTTTCTCAACTTTTGGCTCATTAGCACTTTATATCCCAAAATTAGTTCTAGATCTGTAATTACTCCCCTCTTTGCTTTTGACATCAATTTTTTCTCCATTCTTTCAATAAGACAAAGCATCGTTCATCTTCACTATTTCATTTGGGGAAGAAGTAGGGGTTTACTTCCTTGCTAGTTTCCTTGTATTTGCCATGTTCTGTACCTTCTTTCCTCTCCTTAAAGGAAAAAAGGTATTGCCCATCAGCAAATCAGTTTTAGTTCTTCGATTCTAGTTATACAACCAGTTTTCTGACTTTTCTGGAGCAATTTCTGCCCTGGTGCTATCCCATATATTTGTTATTTAATTCAGGAGATGCCCAGGTAGGGTTTGGGAGGAAGGTCCATCAACCCAAGCTAGGGAAAGTGGACCAGGAAAGATGCCTGAAGTTAGAGATGCCACACTGATGTTTTTTTCCATTGGCTGGTGGTATGCTGGAAGAGGTAACAAGTCAGAGGAAAAAAACCAATAATTCTGCTAATGAATGACATATTCTCAAATCAGAACAGTATCATTTTGTAGTGACTTAGAAGTCATCCAAAGCAGGAAGCAGGGCAGGGTTTGGCAGGAAGACAGTTTTTTCTGGAACCAATCAAGGGTGAGCAGTTAGCACTTTCACCCAATAATACATATAGTAGTCAGGGAAGGGCTCAGTCACATGATAATCCCAAAATTTTGGGATATTTGAAGATATTTCAAATCCTGACTCTAGCACTTGGAAGCTCTAATGTCCTGATTCTACAATTCTTCCAGTTGGGAGGAATTTTTTTCAGAGCCCACAGTGTATGAAAATTCCACAAGCCAATAGATGAACCAAAATAGTGTAACTATCATATATGTAGTGTTCCACATTTTATAATAGAGTTCTCTGATGAAAAAATTAGTACAAATTTTTTTAGGGAAAATCTCACAATAATATGAACATATAAGGAAACTAATTCTCAAAATATGTATTCTTATTAGATTTAAAAGTATACATTAAAATATTAATTAAGAAAATAATCCTCAGAGTATTAAGAATAGTTATTGTTGTATCTATGAAACCCCAATTTTATAAGACCCCAGACAATGAGGTATTGTTCTGTGAATTAATCTAAAAGTTTTCAATATGCCAGAGGAAAAAAACCTTCTTTTTATAGGTTTTTTTGTACATACTTCTGTAAAAGTATGAAGGATAAAGGGAGAACTTCTTCTTGTGACAAGGCACAATTTTTATGCAGTTCTGTAAGAAAAAGCACTGTGAATTGATGCAGAAAAAACAGCTGATTTAATACTGGAAATAAATGAAAAATTAAGAAAAATCTAAAATGAGGTTTTATTTATTAATTTCCCATTATGTTTGTTTCATAATAATGTTGCATTAGATTTAGAAGCTTACCAGCTGGCTGCTGAATGAATAGTCATTTCGAGATGTCATATCAGAAATTCATGGTGCTTACATAATATTTGGGGTGAATGTCCAGCATGCAGTGTCCATAGCTGCAATTTATTTGTTCCATAATTCAATTGCTGCTTTGAGACGCACACAATACTCACAAACCATCTTTTTATTTTTCTTATTATATATGTAGCACTTTAATTTCCCCAAAGAACTAGTTCCATTGTCTCAATATTTTCCTAGCTTTGGACCCTTTAACATCATTGTCACTTCCTTCCCATAGACATCACTGGCAGAGTAGGAAAAAACAAAGGAACAAAACAGGAAAATAAAAATAATAAATAAAATAAAATAAAATAAAATAATAAAAATCAGGAACTTCAAGAAAAAATGTCTTCTATCTGGCAAACCTTTCGAATTTAATAGAATATTTTTACTGAGAGAAAAAGCTTCTTTACTAAAATCAAATATATATAATTAAATCAGATGTTTAAGATAGATTGCAATTTTATTGTTAATAGCTTTGATATTTTTTAAAATAGGAAACAGTATACAAATATTTTAAAACAAATAAATAGTTTTATATCAAAGTTCCCTAGCATTGGAAAAAATAAAATTTTTACATAACAGGACAAAAACTCTTCTTTCTTTCTATATAAAATAAATCAAAATACAATTCAATAAAAAATCATAACCATTAATTTTGTGAAATTTGCTTGAAGATTACTTGCAGCCTTATTAACATAAGTATCATGAAAAGCCATTTATTTTGCTTTTAAATTTTATTTCTGAGGGTTTTAAGTATGCATAATTTCAAAAGAAGCATTTCCTACTTTTAAATGAGATGATCTTTTCTGTTAGGGCATTGTCCATCTATGGTTTTTAGAGATGAATGCATTTTAAGAAAAACACATATGCTGACTAATTGAGGAACTTTTTAGTAGATCATTGTTATGATAAAATTCATAATGGTGTTCAATTAAGTATTAAATTACAATTAAATATTTTAATATTACAATTAAATATTGTAATATTGCAACCTTCCCAGTGAAAGAATTAATGTTGCAATACTGAGCTTCCTATGGTCTTTTTCCCCCCCCCAGCGGTCAGCTTCAATGAACATAGTGGGTTTTCCAAACATTTTAGAAGTTGATTTGTCTTCAACAAGGACATCCAAACAAGCTGATTCACAGGCAAAAGAAATCTGCAGTGCAACACCTAGCCTGTCCCAAAGTGTACCACATATCTCCGAAGTGCTTCCTGAACCTGTATCTACTTACAATCTGTCTTTGGATAGAACCAGTACCCTGAGTTCTGAAAATATTGAACACTTAGCAATTGGTGGCATGCCTTTGGTAAACCCAATTTGTAAGGTAAGAACAGTTGATCGATCAGGTAATCATTTGGTAGGAAAAAAAAATCACAAGAATGGTCAGTCTAGTTTATTTCATAAGCCACCATACACCTGAAAAATTTCTGCTGAGAATATTGGAACCTGAAAAATTGGGGCAGTATTTTTATGCAGCTCTCATTTAGGTTATCTGGAACTTCAGTACGAGAAGCAACGGGTGGAAACTGATCAAGGAGAGAAGCAACTTAGAACTAAGGAGAAACTTCCTGACAGTTAGAACAATTAACCAATGGAACAACCTGCCTCCAGAAGCTGTGAATGCTCCAACAATGGAAATCTTTAAGAAGAGACTGGACAGCCATTTGTCTGAAATGGTGTAGGGTTCCTGCCTGAGCAGGGGGTTGGACTCGATGACCTCCAAGGTCCCTTCCAACTTTATTATTATTATATGCCTTTTGTATAAACCCAGTTAATTTCAAAAGCTCCTATGCAAATCAAATTCCTGCCAAGAGTTTCTTATTTCTTGACTTAAAGACTAATATAGAATCCATGTGGGGCTTTTCTGTTCTTATGGCAAAAAGTTAAAAGTCTCCTTCAAGAAAAATTAAACTTTGGATTTTCATGAACAGTTCCAAGGAATTTTATTGGTAGCAATAGAAGTAATTTGCTTTTGCTACATAGAGTGAGCCTATAGATACGATACTTCCTTGTAAACATTCTGTGCCCAAACCTGTGGTAAGGTTATGTTGAGAAATTTTTGAATATTTGTTGTAGGTCTATGGTTCAAAGATCTTAAGTTATTTGAATTCATGCTTTGTGTGTCCCTCAGAATGAAGCACTCTGAGTCAGAATAAAATAATTCTGCTTTTTTATTTATTATTTTGTTGATGTATAAAATATTTTGTAAATTTCACTTTTTTTCCTCTTCAATTACCAGCTGGAAAATGAAGAGTTTAGCCATGTGGGTTATCCTCTTGGAAGCAATACTGTCACTGCACAATCAAAAGACATGAATGAAATGATTCTTCCTTTACAAAATATTCTGGAAGAGCCTATTAATCTCTCAGTGAAGAAAACTCAGCCATGTACCTCTCCTCCCTTACTTATCAGCAATACCACCTTCATGCAATCTGTTAATCCCAAACCAGGACACACTGAAGGTACCAGCTTTTTTTTTCTTTAGCTTTCATAGATGTTTAAAATCATAATTATTTCAAGCTTTGCTGCTGAAAATACAAATGTTTTGTATGAGAAGCCATAAATTAAATTATGATTTCTGTAATTGTCCCATGTTTTCTATTAATGTCCAGTATGCTGGCCTTTAGTAAACATGGAACAATGTCCGGACTAATGGTGGGATACATAAAAATAGAATATTTGTCTAAGCTTGATTTAATGTTAGAAATCTGTTAACATTAGAGATCTATTAATTTGAATGAGCCTGTTAACATAATAAAGATGATACAATACACTTTTAAATGTTATCAAAAATGTCATACTACCGCTCACAAGAGAAGTAGCAGAGAAAAGTTTTTTATGTATTAAGATAGAAAATATAGCAGGGAGTTTGGCTGTTCAAGAATGACATTTTGGAAGCATCCAGATACGATCACCATCACTTGATGATCCTCCTTTGTATATTTTATTCATTGTGATTAACTGGTACTGCAAAGCCAGTTTATAGAATGTAAAAGCAGTGTAATTTTGTAGGATAAATTGCCATTTTCAACAGATCTGCCAACTGTCATTCATGTTCTAGTAACATCCAAATTAGACTATGAATTTTCTATACGAGGATACCATTGATGGCAATTCTGTATCACAATTCTTTCAGAATTAAACTGCTGTTAAATTCTGCTATATCTCAAGCTCTGCTGGCTTGTGTCAGACAGAACAATTTTTTTTCTTTAGTTTTTTTTTGCCCCAGTGGATTTATAATAATTTATAATAATCTCCTTTATAATAATAATAATAATAATAATAATCTCCTTTCCCATTTAGGGAGGGGCTATTATTTATGGCATTTATAATAATCTCCTTTCCCATTTAGGGAGGGGCTATTATTTATGGCAACTCCAGGGTTGGTATAGCTGACAGGACTGATTAGGTCCATTTGAGGGAATAGAATGGCTTTGGATCCAGTAGATCGAAAACTGACTCTTCCATGCCCCCTACCCCAGAACACCCATTTTGTGGCTTCCTGCTGACTACTGCCGGAAAGAGAACTACCAGCAGATTTCCGCCTACTTGAATGCCATAAAGGTCTTCACCGTGGTTGGATCCCACCCCAGCAGTGCTCCTTGCTGACAGCAAAGGCCGTTGGAAAACCACCAAGCTCCTAGCTTCCTCCAGCCACTAACGTTGCCAGTGGAGGACTTGTGCTCTCAGATAATAACTTTATGAATTTAAGATTCATAATTGAGAGTTGATAAGATTTTAGACTTGTGTCAGGTCAGAAATAGGGAAACTTTGTGAATAGCTCAGCCTATTTTTAGATGTGTTAAATGTTAAATGTGTCTCTAATTTTTGTAATGTTGCTTTATTAATAAAGATTTTTGTAAAAAGCATTTATTCTCTGAGATCAACATATTGACACTTAATGATGGTCAGTATTATAAATAAGATTAACAATGCCCCCTTTCCCAGGAAAACACAAAAATAGATTCATAAGTATAAAGAAAAACAAAGCTATCTCTTAATAGAATCCAAGAATATTTTCCTTCAGCCCTTCCTGCCCCATGTATTAGGATACAATGCTATAATCCCTAAAAGCTTTAAAAAATCCTAGATAGTCCTATGAACGAATATAGAAATTTGCATACTGAGGGAAAGAAAACTTCAAATTCCCCTTGACTTCCAGGGATGAGCTCCACCAATATAGCTGTGTGAGGGACTAAAAAGATCACATGAGTGACAGATTAGAGCAGAGTCTGTTTCTGCTGGATACAAAGCCCCTTATGTCCCATTATCTTCCTGTAATTGAAGAAAACAACGTCATCCCTGGAGCTGTTGTAAGTGTCAAAAGCAAACAATGAATATTTAAGGCAAAAACTCATCCTCCCGCATTATGGTTTTTGGAGCATCAATTCAACAGAGTTTTTGGAGTTGTTCTGTCACAAATTCTCTCTTCTTAAAAGATTTCTCTGCTAATGGACTATGGAAGGAATTAAGGATATGCGTATCAATGTTAAGTCCAGTAAATGAGACATACTTTTAAAAAAAATCCAGAATTATAACTTCTGATATTCATGTTATCTGCACACCATAGTCACAATGTAGCTATCTTTGCCCTGTATGCAGCTCTCTCTACAGTGCAGTAAATTCCTTGTCCACGTCTTTTGAACTAAAAAATATTTTGAGACAACAGTAAGAAATTCTGTGAAATACATCTGCTCATGTTCCAGTGGATTCCATTGGGATGAATCTTAGTAATTTTGATTGAAATTACAGTACAGGTAGTCCTAAATTTATGACAATTGGGACTGGAATTTTGGTTACTAAGTGATGCAGTCATGTGACTGGACCTGATTAGAACCATATTTTTATTGCAGCCATTAACTGACTCACCATTGTCATTAGGGAAATCACATGGTCATGAAGCAAATCACATAGTTATTAAGCAAATCCCCCCTCCCCCACTGATTTTGCTTGTTATAAGCCGGCTGGAAAAAAATCACAAATTGCAATCATGTGATCGCAAGATGCTGCAACTATCATAAATGTAAGCTGGTTGCCAAGTGCCTGAATTGTGATCCTGGGGGTGGTGCGAAGGATGTAACTTCAAGGATGTGTTGTATGTCATTTTTTTCAGTATCATCGTAGCTTCAAACCATCATTAAACGAATTGAAGTTGAAAACTACCTGTACTTCTGTGAGAAATTTACTGTAGGTCTGTATTTTGGATGCTTAAAAAAAAATATCTCTCCTCTTTAATCAAGGTAGCTTTGTGTTATTTTACTCATTTTATTTCTTGTAGATTGTCCTAACTGTGAAGAAGAACATTTTGAAAAGGAAATTAAAAGTAGTCAGAACAACAGGTAATCAGAATTAATGGATCTTACTAAGGCTCATTTCAAGAAATGAATCATTTTTTTTCCATTTAGAAAGTATGTAAATTGGGATTAATCAATTGTTGAATTAATCCAGGTAGAATGAAGCAATTCTAGATGAGAAAAATGTATGAAATAAAAATTAATCCAAATTACACAGTAAATGGAAAACTAATTTTCTCTGTAAAACTGCAGATGTTAATACTAATATATCTAGCCATTATGTTTAAGTAGTACCATACCTAATAAGATAGGCGTGGCATAAATGACTCAATACATCAAAGGAATTATATACTCCTGCAGAACTTATAACGTGGTACTATAATTACACAATATCCATTTTTCACTTTAGTTTACCTAATTTTGAAACAATTATATATTTCTTTTAAATCAGATATTTCCTTTATATGCACTATAAAAAAATCATAATATCTAATTCATTTATATTATCTTTTTTTAAAATGGCCTAAGTAGTCATAGACATCATTCCAAAATTACTAATATATGGAGTCAGTATAAAAATTATTTGAGTGTGAAAATGTGCAAACTGCTTACTATTGTATATGGGAATCTGTTGGTTCTAAAGTAGAAATGATAGTGTGGAAATATAAGATCAATTAACAAAAACAATGTTAAAATATTAATTTTTAAAAAATTAAAATTGTTAAAACATCAGTACTGATTTAAATATTAACAAAATATAACATTTTGACTTAGTTTGCTGAATTGTGTTACAATGGTAAAGGTAAGATAGCACTGATAAAGTTGATCCACTATTTAACACATTTTAGAATTTGTGCCAAAGAGGTGAAAATCCCTTATGTGCGATTGGAACGATTGAAGATATGCACATCAGAATCTGGAGAGCTTCCAATTTTTAAATTGCAGCCACAAAAAAGTACACATGATGGGACATTTCTGTTGATTATTGAATGTGGTACTCAGTCTTCAAGCATGGCTATTAAGGTAAATTCAATTTATCTGCCTTAATTTGTTTTTTCCCATTTTATTCAAATGCATTTAGTAACATTCAATGATGATCATGATCAGTGAATTTCATCATGGTGATATACTTTGAGCCAAAGTAGAGGGACAGCTAGGATTCATAATCATATCCTTCAAATTTTAATGCTTAAGAAGTAACATTAAATTTGGGCATGAGGATATTCCAGCAAACCATTTTTCTGAAGTAAATACTCATACCCAAATATCAAAATGAATATCCTAACAGCGGAGAAATATTCAGAAAAAAATGCTACATATCGATCTTGACTTGGAGGTATTCTTTCATTAGAAGTTGTGATGTTTTTGAAAGGGTAGGTGCTGACAAATGGAAACAGTATTCAGTAGCATATTACATAAAAAAATAATAAGTTTTAAAACATTGTGTACCAAACGTTGAGTCAAAGTTGCCTTTGTGTCAAGGACTACCATGTGGAAGTGAAATATATAACTATTCCTTTTCTGCATATGCACTGTGCTAGAGCATGGGGCATACAATGCTTTTGAGAATATTATTATTATTGTTAAGTGGCTAGTGATTGAAATCTTGTAGAACCCGAACATTATTGTATTGACTCTTATTGTATCCTCATCATGTTATTTTCTTTAAGAGTGCTTTGCCTGCTATGCCATTGAAGAAATTAAATTAATATTCATTAATTTATAAATTTTATTCTATTTTAGGTAATATCACTCTTGAAGATTATATAAAGCAGTGGCTTTACTTGCAGGAATGCTGGGAAGTGACGAATAATTATATGTTCATCTCAATTTGTCGTGCTTATATTTCAAAAGTAATATAGGTTGTCCTCATGTAATGCCACTCAGCCAGCAACCATTCAAAATTATGACAATGCTGAACAAGGGGGACTTCCAGCGGGTCCTCATAGTTGTGGCTGTTGCAATATCTTTGCAGTCACATGATTGTAAATCAAGTGACAACTGGTTTGCAGTTATGACATTGCAATGTTTCATGGTCATGTGATTGGTATTTGTGACCTTCTTTGCTGGCTTCCAATAAGCAGAGTTAATGGAGAAGCCAGCAGGAGTGATCTTTTCATAAAACCAAGCTTTAGAGCAGGGATCCTCAAACCTGGCCACTTTAAGACTTGTGGACTTCAACTCCCAGCATGGCTGGCTGGGGAATTCTGGGAGTTGAAGTCCACAAGTCTTAAAGTGGCCAAGTTTGAGGATCCCTGCTTTAGAGCCTCAATGGCTGCAAGAATCATAATGAATGAAAATACAGTATCATCAGTGGGTTGCAATCTTCACTGAGCAGAGTACAGTCTGAAACTTCATTCAGCCTATGGTATACTCCTATTTCTTTTTCCTTCAGGTCCCTTTATTGTCCCCTTGCCCCAGATGGAGGCTTCTTTAGATCAGCATGTGAAGCAGTGCTGAAGGCTGCTGAGAAAAGGAACAAATTGGCAAACAATGCTGTTCTTCCCCCACCCCATGCCCCTTTTCTTCTGTTAGGGACTCTTCATTGAACCTCTCTTCCCTCTTTAAATGGAAGGAACCTTTTTTCATTAAAAGGCTAGTTTGGCTACAAAGAAGGGCTTATATGTCTCACTTGTAAGGCATGCTTCCATTCAGAAGTGAACATTTTAGCTTTATAATTAGCTGGTAACTACTGGATACTGCTTAGGTCATTTAAAACTCTGGGCAAAATTACTGAATTATATAACTGGAGATTATGTAACAGTTGAAATCTCAGGAGACCTCCCCAATATCCAGTCTTCAGAAGAAACTAATATATTACATTCACTACAGGAAGTGTACCGTTATTTAAGCTTCTGCAGTATATTAAGCACTTTTTGTGAAAAAGTTGTCACTTTTCATCCTAGGTCAATCAAGGACATTCATCTGAAAGTCTAAATCCTAAAGCTGGAGAAAACCTGGAGAAAAGCAGGATCCTCACAAGCCAGCTGACTGAACAGGTGTTACTTCCTTCAGGAGATCACAGGCTTAGTAATAACATGAAGAAATCTGGGCATCCTCAGGAAGATCACCCCATTGAGAATGAAGACTTTTGTGCTGTTTGCCTGAATGGAGGAGAACTTTTGTGTTGTGATTACTGCCCGAAGGTGTTTCATCTCTTGTGTCATGTTCCTGCATTACTTAGTTTTCCTGTGTGAGTATAACAGAATTAGGAATATTTGTTCTCTCCTTTAGGTCTAGATCTTTGCAAGCGAACTGCTTTAGAACCTCTCTCCTTGAACTGATGTGTTACTTTTAGTGCTTCCTTCCTATTAATTTTGTTTGTTTGTTTTGAAATAATAAGAACTTATTCAATGTTAAACTTGGATTATATAAAAATGTAACACAGTATAAATGTTTCCAATGGAATTTTTGTTTTTGACAAGGCAAACATTGAGGATAAACATCAAAAAGATTTGTTTGGGTGTTTTTTCAGGTTATTACAATCTAACTTTCTATAAACAATGAAGTATATTTGAAAGAATATCATAACTTTCTTCTTTGCTCTTGGTGTTTGGGAATTCTGTTTATGTCTCTGCCATGTCTTATGTTATTAAACTTGTTATAATAACTTAAAGAATGTATAATCTATATAGATTTCTGCAATATTCATAGCAATGGGATTTTTCTTACCAGAAGCAGTGAGTAAAAGAAAATTCTTCCGTAATTTAGCATTTCAGATTTAAAAAAAAATCAAGAATTTCTTAGTCTAACACTGAGGTCCCCAACCTTTTGGGCACCAGGGACCGGTTCCGTGGAGAAAGGTTTTTCTGCAGACCGGAGAGTGCATGGTTTTATGTGCTGCCTGCATCCCATGGATGGGGTTTTGCTTGTTTGTGAGGACTGGTTGCTGGCATGCCACAGACCGGTACTGGTCCACGGACCGAGGATTGGGGACCCCTGATCTAACAGAATGTTAGTTAAGACATTGTCTACCATTAACTTTTTAATTGAACTATACTGTACCAATGCTGCATGGGTGTTTTTTTTTTGTGCTGCAGAGGTGAATGGGTGTGCACACTTTGTCGCAATGTGGAAAAACCAGAGGTAGTCTATGATTGTGAAAACACACGATTTGACTACAATACGCTGATGCGAGCAAGACCAGTTTATAGCCTTGATGAATATGACCAAAAGGTAAGTTCAGGTAACAATATTAATAACAAATGTATCTTCTTTGCCAATAATGTACTTTCCCTTTTCAGTAAGTCTGCATGTCCCAGAAAAAAGCACTGAAAGAACTTCTTTAGAAACTGGGCAGAATCACGTTTTGAGTTACAGTAGCACTTGAACTGAAGTTTATCTAGATTAGTTAAGCATTTTTGAATTATTTTGTTTTTCCTCTCTTTTATGAAATGAAAGGGGATAAGAAAAATATGTACAGGATATTTTTACATGGTACTAATCATTTACTGGGAATGTATTTATTTAAATGATGTATATGGCTGACCAGATCATTAGTGATTCTGGGTGCTGTACAAAGATTAAAATATAAACCCCAACATATAATCCACAATGCCCAAAATTAAAACAATAACCCCCAATCACAAAAACACAAATTCACAGCTGCAGAGCTGGCCTAACCTGTTGGCCTAAATGCCTGGAGAAATAACCAGGTCTCCATGCCTTGCAAAAGGCTAATAGGATCAGGACTACCGCATTTAGACTATGTTACAGTAAACTAATTGTATTACTGTATTGTGCTGAATTGTGCTATAGATATTATGTTAAAACAATAGAAGTGAAACAGTGGAAGCTAGCCAAGAATTTGTTTTGAGCTGCATGTAGATCTACCTGTTTTAGAATTACACTATGAGAAACTAAGAATATTAAGAAATACAAATGTCAGTGTAAAAACTCTTGATTTAAGTCAATATAGATATTTATACAGAATATAGATGTTCATGCAGTCATTTAATATACATAAGTTAATTGTAGATTTATATCTTATAGAGATGTGAGAAATTGGTGCTGTCACTGTTCTGCAATAGCTTGAGTCTTCCATTCCATGAACCGGTCAGTCCCCTGGTAAGTACACAGAATGAAGTAACTTCTCTGGACCGTATGACCTTATCAATCAATGATTAGCTCCCCCCCCTTTCAGTGTGTACAAGCTTTTTTTGCCTCTGCCTTGCCTTCTACAATGAAAAGGCTTTTATCAATTAAATGACCAGAACTATTTCAACAAAATTGCCAGTTATCTTAAAAATTGATCTAATCTTGTACTTGAGTCAGTTGGTAGTTTTGGAAACAGAAAAAAAAGGGGAAGGCAATTTGGAGATTCATTGGACTTTCAAACACTGTTCCAGCTTTCTTTCCATATACTGCATGCACAAAGCTGGAGGAAGGAGGTACAATGTGCTCTTTAATACTGATACAAGTGCAGTAGTTGGCCAGTAAATTTGATGACCTCTATAAATTCTGCCTACTTGGGGAATAATTGCTTTATTGTTTATGCTATATTTTATTTAAGGGAATTTCTTTTGAAAGGAGAAAGTGTTGCTATGTTAGAGAATTGGGTATAATTCCGTTTCTTCACAATACTATTAAATAATAATAAATAGTCACTTCTTTTGTAATTGTTCCACAAGATGTACATAATCCATCATTCACAGAAAAGGTTAATCTTGCCATTGAGCCATGCCAACCAATCTGCCATCCCAGAAAAAGCAAGTGGTCTTAGCTTTTTAAAGTTTTTATCTGTTAGTTGGTATAAGATATTCGTTACACTGATTGGTTCAGCACGGTTTGTCTATTGGTGCTTTGCTGAAGAGTTTTAAGGTTGCTATTCTTTCTCGTCCCTGCTATCTCTCCTAAAGAGGTGCAGGGGAAATGTTTACAACGTCAATGTTTTTTAAAAAAACATACAGCTGAAACTTTATATGGTCAGTGTTGTCAAAAGCAAAAGCATGCTAGTTCTTTGGGGTCAATGATTGCACTTGCTTTGAATGGACTGAGTGTGGCCACTCTCCTTAAAAGTAGAGAGCATGGTCACGACAAAGGCAAACTGAATTTTATTCCATTGACTTCGACTATACATTGACTTACAATTCTGTAATCATGGATTTAATAATTTTGCCGTTTTCTCCCAATAAAAAATGAGCTTCACATCAAAAGGTGGGACCTCAGTTTAATATATGTATACGTAATGGGCTTCTATAGGGATCAGAGAAACCCGGAGGTTTTATTAGAATTACTTCATAATCCTGGCTTTTATCATCACATATAAAAAAAAATGAAGGAAATATTTGTTTTGTGAATGATTTAGCATCGTGGGATTTATCAAATATCCTGCTAATGGGATTCTTTACAGGCTCGCCATTATTATCAGATTATCAAGAAGCCCATGGACTTGTATATAATTCGGAAAAAGCTTCAGAAAAAAGACGAACTGCATTATACCTCTTCAGAAGAGCTGGTGGCAGATGTTCGCCTTATGTTTTGGAACTGTGCATCATTCAACTATGTAAGTTCTAGTATTATACACATAAAGGACATGGTTTTGTTTTGCTACAAATATTTTTATTTGAGTTTTTAATGAGATTGTAGATAAAGAAAATATGGAGATGGCTAGAGTTAATAGAAGAAAAGATGCATATAGAAGAAACGCTGGTACTAGTTCTGATTTGAATATTTTGAAAAGTGCAATTCAAAATAATTTTAAGGGAAGTAAAGGAGAAAGGAGTACTTCATCCTTTCATTCTGTGCCCTTCTACAGGTCCCACCACTCTGAAAGAAAAAAAAAAATCAAGGGACAAAAGATGAGGGAACAATATCTGCTGTCTTATTTTAGACTTTATGGTTGACATGTCTTCAGAAAATTATAATTTGTTGTTATCTTTGCTTCTCATCATCTATTTTTTTTATTCCAATAGTAACATACTGTATCAGAAAAACCGGCCATTCAACTGTAGGGCATTGGAGACTATTAATAGCCTATAAAACTTTATTAACTTTCAAACTATTGAGTTTGGCAATAGATAAGGAATCTAGAAAAATGGTTAATCTGGTGTTCTGTTTCAGTGTATATGTGCCATTCACTTGCTATATTAACAAGAATCCATCTTCCTATCACCATTTTGATGTGTGGTGATAATTTAAAATTATATTCAATGTACACATTGTATAACAATATACTCAGCTCATGCAAGACCATATAAACTGATTATAAACAATGACATAAAGCAGTCACTAAAATGATTTACTGCAACATTTGTAAAAATATGCTAGTAATGAAAAATTGGGAACATATAGTTGAAGAAATAGTAAATAACAGGGAGGTTAAAATATTGTGGGATTTCTGAATACAAACTGATAAAAGTCTTGCATTTAACTATGGTTGAAAAGAAAGTGTGTATAATTGATGTGATGAGATAGTACAACATAAGACAAAAAATTGTAGACCATCAGAAAGTATAGATGTCTGAAAATCGAAATTGAAACATGCATAAACTGGTTAAACTAAAAAAATGCATAAACTAAAAAAACTTGGATGGCACTTAGAAAAAGTGCACATTGAGAAATTGCCTTTGTCAGTTGCAAAAGGCCAAATTGCTTGGATCCACACATCTACTATTCTGATACATTATGACACTCTAGATTCTTCGAAAGAATTTGAGGCATACGAAAGCCAACACCAGGTAAAGAACTGGTAGCTCTAACTTCACATTGTTGTGAAGAGATAATTTATTAAAGTTATCTGCCACCCACTCTGGTGCATTATATATTATAATATATATTACAGTGGTACCTTGATTCTCAAGTGCTTTGAAACTCATTGAATTTGGTACGCAATGCACTTTGACATGAATGTTTTGTCCCAGTACTCAATGTTTGTTTGGTACTCAGCACACAAGCTAGAACTTGTTGGCTGCTTTGTGATTGACTACATTATTCCTTATGGGAAACATTTGTTTGGTACTCATCAATTTTGGTTCTCACTGCACCTCTCGGAACCAAGTAATGATGAGTACCGAGATACCACTGTATATATTATACTAATATATAGTATTGTTTATTTTGATATGCTACTGCCATGGACCATTTTCTTAGTCTGTGTTGCAGTTAATCTTCTTGCTTTATATAAAGTGACTTAGTTTTGAAAAATAATTACCCTTAATAGATAAAATAATAAAGACTCATTGTCCTGAACAACATTATGTCCTAATTAATTATGGTGTTTCTTTGCAGCCTGATTCAGAGGTTGCCGAGGCTGGAAGGTGCCTGGAAATATTCTTTGAAAGCAGGCTCAAGGAAATTTATCCAGAGAGGCAGTTCCCCTTGGTGCAACAAGATGATTCTGATTTAGAAGATGTGGAGAATGAAAATAATCAAGCAACTCCCAAAGAATTGCAGTGGCCTTCATATAGGCAAGAGTGTATCCAGCCTAAAAGAAGAAGACGACATGCTGTAAGAATTTAAGAGCAAACTCCCCTCATAGCTAAATGGCCACAAAGCTAATTCTGTCCAAAGCTGTTGGTACAGAGTTACATAACTATATATTTTGGAATATATTCCCAAATGCTGTTTAGATGAGTGTTCTCCTTTTTATATCTTCTCATAATGTAGACTCCAGTATTTAGGCAAATCCACAGATTCATCGTGAAGAGAGTCAATTGAATAAGTCAAGATATGTTAAGAGTTACAGAGTTATATGCACCAAATATAAAAGAATATACAATAATTATGGAAAAGATGAGGTGCTTTCGTAATTCACCTGTTTGTTTCCTTTTTTAAACAGGAAAATGAAAAACCTAAAAGACCCATGTTTTGGCCAGCGAAAGGTTTCTCTCAAGTATGACTTCTGGAATGTTGCTTGGTATGTTATGAACAACAATAACAATCAAAGGAACTGACTTTGTAAGAGGAGATAGAAAATATTTATTTCTATGCTTAATATGAGCTTCAAAGTGATTGATTGACCTTATTTCTGTGAAGGGAGAATACATTCTAAAGATATTTTAAAGGGTAGTCTCCAAGTTATCTGTTATGTTTAATTATTTGTATTTAAACAGAAGTTTCAATTATGAAATAGAGATTAGTAATAAAAAGATTCGGTGTGCTATTTTTAAAATTATTTTATAAATTCTGTTAATTTATAGATTTTAGGTAACATAGCTACTGGGCAGTTCTGTATGCAAGACATATTTCCCACTTTGTTATCCTGGAAATAAAGTTACTGTTTTACTATAGACTTCACTCTCTAAGACTATCTTCTCCTACATTGAAGAAACTGAATTCAACCTTGCAATGCCATTCTAGGCATGTGATGTTGTTGGCTAAGTCGTGGGTGGTTAACTACATCCTAAGAGGCTAAATGAAACAGGAGGACTTGGTTTTTTACTTAATACAATTCCAGAATGTGACTCTACAAGAAAAAAAATGGAAAGCATTTCATATAAGAATATTACTCCTTGAAAAACGGGGAGGTTTGAATACATTTCTGTCACCAAGAACTCACACTACAGATATGTTTAGATTATCTTAATTCTACTATAAATAGAGAAGATGTTATTGGAGCCAATCAGCAAGTGCAAGTTTCTGTAACTATGAGGGATAGAGGGAGAGAATATTTTTGAGATCATCTCTTGCTCCCTTTTGATCAGCATGGAATGTAGGTTGAAATATATTGAGCCCTGATCATGGTGTGTTCATAAAGCCACCTATATGCCTCATTGTTAAACCCAAGTGAATTATTTATGTAATTTATACAGTTGGTGACTGGAGGTATGGGTGATGGATGTTTTATCTTCCCCAGTTCTCATCTCTTAAAACAAAGGTGCTTTAAGCAAAGGGTAACAATTTCTCATATACACTAGACTAGGGGTCCCCAACCCCTGGTGCGTGACCAGTACTGGGCTGCAGCATGCCAGCAACCGGTCCACACAAACAAGCAAAGCCCCATCTGTGGGATGCAGGCAGCACACAAAACCACACACTCTTCGGTCTGTGGAAAAACCTTTCTCCACGGAACCGGTCCCTGGTGCCCAAGAGGTTGGGAACCTCTGCACTAGACAGTACTCTAAATCAGTGTATCTCAATGTTGGTAACTTTAAGATGTGTGGACTTTCACTTCCAGAATTCCCCAGTCAGCAAGGAATTTTAAAGTTGCCAAAGTTGAGAAACACAGCTGTAAATGAAGACAGCTTTTCAGCACAGTCTTTATGAATTCATTCAATATTGTATCCATGAATGTTTCAGTGGAAGGCACTTTAAGTGAGTTTATAGAGTTATTAGAAAGTTTGGAATATTTTCTCCATTATTGATGTGAATAATATTCAACATAAACTCTGTAGAAAATGTCTCTTTTTCAATTGTGTAATAAACTAGTCTATGAAAGAAATATAAACTGTTCTGCTACATTATTTCCTGACAGGTAAAGTTCTTAGGGAAATTCTTCCCAGCAGTGTTAATCTGCTTGCATATGGTGCTGTTAGCTTAAAAAATGTTGTCCAGGTTTCAAGCACTGGTAATTTTGTTGGCTAGGTGTTCTATCTTGATGGCATAGTCTATGGCATAACCTATGGTCTCCAATTGGTGAAGTCCCATGCTTATTTGCCCCTCCCACACATGCTGCAAAAATAAGCACTGGATGGATCTTTGAGGATACATGGTTTCCATTTGCATGAGCAAACAATGGCCAGCATCATAGAACCACAGTTATAGAGTTGGAATGGATTTTAGAAGTCATCTACTCCAATCCCAGACTCAGTATAGGAATTGCTTTCCTATTCTGAGTATTTCAATAGTCCATCAAGGGGGAACCCACTGTTTCTTAATTCTTCCAGTCAGCTATTCTAAAAGAACAGTGAACTTTTGTCAATTTCATCCAGCTCCCAAATTTCCTAAATTGACAATTTTTACAGGGGCACGATGGCAGCAAGTAGCCTCAGCACTTACCTAGCAATATTAAAAGCAAAAGGAAAAGCAATGTTCAATGTTTCAATACATCACCAGTGAATATTAAAAAAAAAACCAATTTCATCAATGGGGAAAAAAGGTAGCTTTAGCATGGAAATATTCCTTTTGAAGTATGGGGGGGGGGGGAGACAGCTTGGTAACCCAGATGATTGACATGGAGGGCAGCAACCAAATCCAGAGGGGAGGGGGCATGCTCATCATGCACACAATAATTGTTTGGAAATAAGGCATCACTTATAACAAAATGACGTGGACTGCTTGGTACAGCTTTTCCTGGTAGACGTGAGAAATGCTATTGTTGACATGGAAGTAAAAAACATGGGCAGATGTTTTCATTGTGGTAGGTTGCGGATGGGTTGAGGACAACACTGCAGTTCTGTCCTAGAAAAGCAGTGACCTGTCCTCCTGCCTAGCACAGTTGGCAATTGGTCGTAAGTGCAAACAGTTTGCCAAGTGCCCAGATTGCAATCAAGTGACCATGGGTGCTGGGACGGCTGGAACTCTGAGGACTGGTTGTAACTATCATTTGCTCACCAGCATTGCAACTTCAATCGGTAGCTGACCTCATAGGTTGAGGTCTATCTGTATTATAAAGCTTCTGTCCCCTTCCTTTTATTTCTTTACATTACAAATAGGAACATTAGAACTTTGTTTTGATGAAGCTAAACAATCAGCTCAACACTGCTACTGTATAAAGTTTCCATGGACCTACAGAGGAAAGTGGAAACGAAAGAACATCCTGTTCCTTATTACTTTTAATTATTGTAGTGTTGGAACCACAAGGGTACCAAAAGGGATTAAAAATAGAAATGGTCTGTGTAAATATTAAAAGATGCAATATGGGAGGGTTAAATCTCTCTCTCTCTCTCCACGTTCCTCTCTCCTTCCCTCCCTCCCTCCCTCCCTCTCTCTGGTTTGCAGTCCACATCTAGCAGTCACAGTCAATGCAATTATTCTCTAAGCATCTAATTTTCTTCTTTTTTAATGCTAAAAATTACTTTCTAGTTAGTAATTGTGTTTAGAATAGAAGCCTTAAAACTACCTCACCTTAGAAGTACATTTCCTTAAATTTGGTGGATTTGCACCCAAGTATGAATCTATATGACTAGGACTGTATAGATGTATATAGAAGATTGATGATGATGGCATCTGTTCAATTGTGTCCAATTCTTGACAATTCTATGGACTAGCTCTCTCCACATTTTTTGATCTTGTAGGGTTCCTTTCAGTTTCATGCCGTGACTGGTGTCAACATTGAGGGTGTCTAGACACTGTTTTTGGTGCCCTCATTTGCTTTTACTGTTGACCATTCTGAACATAAATGCCTTTTTCCAGTGACTTGGTCACCCGATAGCCAAAATAAGTAAGGTGGAATTTTGTGTTTTTGCCTTCCAGTCATATGTTTGATTTTGTATGCTCCGTTACTTGCTTGTAATGGAATGACCAAGAAATGAACAGGAGACTTCTTCAGCACTGCAACTCGAACAAGTCAATTTTTCTGTCTAGTTTTTCATGGTCCAAATTTTGCAACATTAGGTAGCTATGGGAAATGTAGTAGTGCAGACTTATCTGCATTTGGTGGTTGGGCTGATATCCTAGCTTTTCCATACTCTATTTATGATCCTCATTACTAGATGCAAAAGCCAGTTAGTATATAGCTCTATGATGAAAAGATAATACAACTCCAGTGCTGGCATAAGACATACTGAAATGTTTTTGGCAACTCAACTTATTCATACAACAGAACCCTTGTATTTAGTAGCAACTGAAATTTCCAGGTTGCCCTGAAGTGCCTGCTGGGTCATCTGTGGCCACAGACACAGTTCACTGGAAACAAATGAAATATTTGTTTAGTGACTCAGCCATTAGTCTGAATAGTGATGTTTGCACTTGATAAACAAGATAAAAAACATTTTGACTAGAAAATAGACCTGAGAAAGACTGCTGAATTTAAATGTCAAGTAATTAAACTCAACTGAACTATGCGACCTTGATAAACTATGGCTTGGGTTTTGTGAGCAGAATCACAACATTGTACTACGACCATTCCTTCTCCCTGAGGGAATGGAAATGTTAAGTCTTGAACAAGATTAGTACAACCACAGTTGAGCCCAAAATTTCTGTTGATAAGTGAGAAATTTATTAAGTTTGCCCCATTTTACGACTTTTTTTTGCCACATTTGTTAAGTGAATCACTGCAGTTGCCAAATTAGTAACACTGCTGTTAAGTGAACCTGACTTTGACTTTGCTTGTCAGAAGGTCAGAAAAGGTAATCATATGTCCCCGGGACACGGCAACCGTCATAAATATGAACCAGTTGTCAAGCATCTGAATGTAAATCATGTGACCCTGAGGATGCTGCAATGACTTTAAGTGCGAAAAATGGTCATAAGTCACTTTTTTCAGTGCTGTTGTAACTTTGAACCATCACTAAATGAACTGTTGTCAGTCGAGGATTACCTGTACATTCTATGGAATTAACATGTATGTTTGCCATGCTTCTTTGGGGAAAATGGTGCCACATAATTTCTACAATGCACTTATCTATGGTTAATTCCATAACTGATTTATAGAATTATCTATTTTTCATTTTAACCTAATACAGTAGACTAAAATGTGGTTAGCTAATATGCGGTTCATGAACAATGATTATATATGATAATAATCTCATCTAATCCTATCAATAAGAATATGATGAAGCCAGCTGCTCAGCTTTGCACTTCTAAATAACTGAGCACAAAGGAAAGGCAGCTGCAGAACTATCATTTCTTCCAAAGAAATATTGGAAAATTTACACTGGTGATTACTTCATATCTTTAAAAATAGCTTTGAAACATTATACTGGAAAGTAAACTGGATTTACTTTGGAGAACTGTTTT